AACCAGTTTGCAGGGCAGAAATTGAGACACAGATGTAGAGAACAAATGTATGGACCCCAAGCGTGGAAAGCCAGCGGGGGGTGGGGGTGGGGGTGGGATGAATTGGGCTATTGAGATTGACATATACAACGATGTGTATAAAATTGATGACTAATAAGAACCTGCTGTATAAAAAAATGAAATAAAATTCAAAAATTCAAAAAAGTACATGTACCTAATAAAGAGTTACAAAATATATAATGCAAAAACAGAGCTAAAAAATATGACACCAAAAGCAAGTTGATAAATTTGGCCTCATCAAAACTTAAAACTTTGCTCTTCAAAAGGCACTGTTGAGAAAATGAGAAGACAAGCTACGTACCGGGAGAAAATATTTGTAAATCATATATCTGATAAAGGATTTGTATACAGAATATGTAAAGAATCTTCAGAACTCAATAATAAGAAAACAAATAGCCCAATTTGAAAAACAGACAAAAGATTTGGACAGACACTTCACCAAAGAAGATATTCAGATAGCAAATAAATACATGGAAAAGTGCTCGCCATCATTAGTCATTAGGAAATACAAATTAAAACTACAATGAGATACGACCGCACGGTTATTAGAGTGGCTAAAATTTTTAAGTCTGACCACTTGTCTGTAAGACTGTGAAAGAACTAGAAGTCTCATATATTGCTAGTGGAAATAAAAAATGGTATAGTCACTTTGGAAAAACAGTTTAGCAGTTTCTTAAGTGTCTACTTACCATATGATCCAGCCATTTCACTCCTATGTATTTACCCAAGAGAAATTAAAGCATTTGTCCATACAAGGACTTATACACAAATGCTCATAGCAGCTTTATTTATAATAGCCACCCCCAAAGAAAACCCAAATATCCATCAACAGCTGAATATTTAAACATACAACAGAATGTATGTGTTCAATAGACCACCACTATACAGGAAAAATTAATGAACTAGTTGATAAATAAAACAACTGAGACAAACCTCAAAATAATTTTTCTGGGAAAGTTGCCAGACCAAGGGGAAAAAAGTGCATACTGTATGATGCCATTTTTATACAATTCCAGAAAATGTAAACTATAGTTACAGAAAGCAGATCAGTGGTTGCCTGGGGTGGGAGGAAGGAAAGGAAGGAGGGAGGTATTCTAACAGGACAGGGGCAAACCTTTAAGAGTGGTGGATATGTTCATTATCTTGACTTTGATGATGGTTTCATGCGTATATATATGTCAAAACTTGTCAAGGGGCTTCCCTGGTGGCGCAGTGGTAGAGAGTCCGCCTGCTGATGCAGGAGACACGGGTTCGTGCCCCATTCCGGGAGGATCCCGCATTCCGCGGAGCAGCTGGGCCCGTAAGCCATGGTCGCTAAGCCTGCGCGTCCGGAGCCTATGCTCCGCAGCGGGAGAGGCCACAACAGCATGGCCGCTGAGCCTGCGCGTCCGGAGCCTGTGCTCCGCAATGGGAGAGGCCACAACAGTGAGGGGCCCGCGTAACAAAAAAAAAAAAAAAAAAAAAAACAACCTTGTCAAAGTATACACTTTAATTATGTGCAGTTTATTATATGCTAATTATGCCTCAATAATCCTATTTTTTAAATTAGAGAAAGTATGTGTAGTAAGAGAAGCAGGGACTAGACATAAATGGGTTTGGCATTTACCACCACGACCAACCCCACTGGCAGTACTCTATGATTCACTCCACTTTTAGCCATTTAAATTTTTCACTTCATCAACAAAAGTGCTGAAATGGGGGAATATAGGAAAGGTGTTAGAGAATAGCTCTTGGGACAGGCATGTTGCTCGTTTAAGACTAGTATAGGCAACATCCCTCTCTTTAGCACTACTAGTATGTACTTATATCCACTGAATTTTTTTGTTTGTAATTAGGGAAGGTGAGAGCAGTTGGGCTGAGTTTAGGAATCAAGGCGAAGAGAAAGGACAATGAGGTCATGGAAAGGGTTGGTGTGCACTGTACCCCACTAGGTCCCTTGTCCTGTGTTTGGCCCCTGATGATTAGGGTCAGCGGCTGGAGAAGCTCTTCTACTGTGAGATTTTGTGTACCAATACTATTGCTTTAAGATCTAGATATATAATATGTAGTATGAATTCAGAGAAAATAGGGCCATTCTTCCCATGTTTGTGCAGAGTCCAGTGCCTCTTGGGTATTCTGAAGTTTCATAGCTTTGGGCTCAAGGATAATTGGGGAGATAATACCCTTGGCACAGATGATGGCATCCTAATCAGGGGCAATGTCAACAGTGGTGGTGGTGAGATTCTTTTAAGTGGCTTTGAGAGCTGTGGAGCCTGAATCAAAAGTACACACACACTGTTGAAATGGGAAGGATGACTATAGCTAACAGTCATGTTTAGGCACATATATGAGGACTACTTGGAGGTTTCCAGAAAATTTTGGGAGGGACTGGTAGAGGTTCTGTGAGTAGAGGGTGGAACAAGAGTAAGACCTTAGATTATTTATGTTAATGTGACTTCTTTTAAATCCATAAACTCAGAATTTCTGTTAATGTTAAAGTTATACACTATTATCTGGGCTGAAGTACGGAGATAGGAAAGAAGAAGGGAGATAAAAAGGACAATTCATTGTAGTTTTCCTCACACACTACCTTGCTTTCTGCTTCATTTTTTACCTTTCCACCATCCACCTTTGCCTTGCTGCTGTAATTATGGATCATGTTGGCTTACTGCCAAGAAATAATGGTATCAGTTAGGTTGCCATGGCCCGTTCCTTGACTAAGAAAATTCATCTGATGGTCCACTTGTAGATAGTCCAGGTTAGAAATGTAAAAACCTTGCAAAAGAAAATGCGGTATATTCTGGCTCCCATTTTAATCTGATCTCTCTCTTCTAAGAAGAACAAATGCCAGGGAGTCCAGGGTCATAATAGACAATTTTGAGATTCTAGTGATCATATGCAACTGTTAAGAATATCAAGAAAGCCATGGTATTCAATTTCCAAGCCCTGGGATTGTTGTTGCTATTTACCTGAATCTGGGGAAGGGCCGAAGTTTGAAAAAAGCTGCCAATACCCCAGATTCCTGCCTTCAGTTCATAACTACTGCTTTTGGATATCTTGCTACATGTCAGTAAACAATGTAAAGCATCTTAATGTACATACCTTTATCATAGTAAATATGCTTAGTGCAGCAAACTTTAAAAATACGCTAAAGCTTGGCTACCAGGAAGTTCACATGTAAATGTAACGTTCAATTGTAGAAATCTACTTTTCCCAAATTCTTGGTATATTTATCTCTCCTCCTCTTATATGTGGTTTATGATCCCTGTTATTTTTTTTTTAATTTTTTTTTTTTTTGCGGTACGCGGGCCTCTCACTGTTGTGGCCTCTCCCATTGCGGGGCGCAGGCTCCAGACACGCAGGCTCAGCAGCCATGGCTCACGGGCCCAGCCGCTCCACAGCATGTGGGATCCTCCCAGACCAGGGCATGAACCCGTGTCCCCTGCATCGGCAGGCGGACTCTCAACCACTGCGCCACCAGGGAAGCCCCCTATCCCTGTTATTTTTAAATTGACTTGTCATATGTCTGATTTTATTTCAAGTTGCCCCATATCCTTTTTAGAAAATGTTGGAAATAGATACTGTATCTAAAACCAAATTTACAAATATGTTAATAGACTTCATTCAGTCTGAACTTATAATTATTTCAACATTGATTATTATAATTATTTTACTTTACCTCATGTTTTTCAATAATCATTTCATCAAAAATGTTGATATATATATTATCTTTTATTTTAGATAAGCTTGAGATGCTATAATCATGTCCTGGTAAGCTGTAAATAAGAAAAACATATTTAAATGCTTCACTGATTTTATAAAAGCATTATTCATAAAGGACTATAAAATTGCCTGCATTATTTTCTTTTATAAAGTATAAGATAAGAAAATCTATGTGCTTTCAGGACAACTCCTATCTTTCATTAAAGCCAGTATCAAAATATATACAAACAATAAATGCTGGAGAGGGTGTGGAGAAAAGGGAACCCTCTTGCACTGTTGGTGGGAATGTAAATTGATACAACCACTATGAAGAACAGTATGGAGGTTCCTTAAAAAACTGAAAATAGAGCTACCATATGATCCAGCAATCCCACTACTGGGCATATACCCATAGAAAACTCTAATTCAAGAAGATACATGCACCCCAATGTTCATTGCAGAACTATTTACAACAGCCAGGACGTGGAAGCAACCTAACTGTCCATCGACAGATGAATGGATAAAGAAGATGTGGCACATATATACAATGGAATATTACTCAGCCATAAAAAGAAATGAAATTGAGTTATTTGTAGTGAGGTGGATGGACCTAGAGTCTGTCATACAGAGTGAAGTAAGTCAGAAAGAGAAAAACAAATACCATATGCTAACACATATATATGGAATCTAAAAAAAAAAAAAGTCATGAAGAACCTAGGGGCAGGACGGGAATAAAGACGCAGACCTACTAGAAATGGACTTGAGGACACGGGGAAGGGGAAGGGGAAGCTGAGACAAAGTGAGAGAGTGGCATGGACATATATACACTACCAAATGTAAAATAGATAGCTAGTGGGAAGCAGCCGCATAGCACAGGGAGATCAGCTTGGTGCTTTGTGACCACCTAGAGGGGTGGGATAGGGAGGGTGGGAGGGAGGGAGACGCAAGAGGGAAGAGATATGGGGATAGATGTATATGTATAGCTGATTCACTTTGTTATAAAGCAGAAACTAAAACAATATTGTAAAGCAATTATACTCCAATAAAGATGTTAAAAAAACAAAAAAGTCAGAGGGATGCCATCAAAAAACCATGCAAATAGTCAAGAACCATATGATCTGCAGAAATTGAGGGAGCTGAACAAGATTGGCAAGAGAAGCGGGTAAGGGCGCCAGGAAAAGAGAAAGGACTTTGATAACAGATGTAGTTGACAGTTCTTTATATTCCTTTTACCCGAGGGAGAGCTAAAGATGTATAGGAAGTAACAACTGAAAATTGCTAATTGAGTTTAGAGAACAATTTTAAGTTCTACATTTTAAATCTGTCTTGATCAGTGCACTTTATTTTCAATTACAAAAGGCTATTTATATAGCTTTAGCATCAAATATGAACCTTGAGAAAGAAAAGAGCTGGAGATCCCACTTCCTGATTTCAAAATACATATATTACGAAGGGGAAGTCTGGCCTAAAAACAGACATATAGACCAGTGGTACAGAATAGAGAGCCTAGATATAAATCCTTGCATCTATGTCAGGTCAACCGAACTTTGACAAGGGTGCCAAGACTACTCAATGAAGAAAGGACAATCTATTCAACAAATGGTGTTGGTAAAACTATGTGCAAAAGGATCAAATTTGAGGGAGGAGATATGGGGATGTATGTATATGTATAGCTGATTCACTTTGTTATAAAGCAGAAACTAACACACCATTGTAAAGCAATTATACTCCAATAAAGATGTTAATTAAAAAAAAGAATCAAATTTGATCTTTATCTTATACCATACCCAAAATTCAACTCAAAATGAATCAAATATTTAAAATGTAAGACCTGAAACTATAAAGCTTCTAGAAGAAAATACAGGGGAAAAGTTTCATGACATTGGTTGTGGCAATAATTTCATGGACATGATACCAAAGCACAGGCAACAAAAGCAAAAATAAAAAAGTGGAACTATATCGAACTGTAAACCTTCTGCACAGCAAAGGAAATAATCGTCAGAGTACAAGGTCAACTTATGGAATGGGAGAAAATATTTGCAAACCATATATATTATAAGGGGGTTCATCTCCAACATACATAAGGAGCTCATACAACTGAATAGTAAAAAAGCCAATAATCTGATTTTAAAATGTACTAAAACTTGAATGGACATTTTCCAAAAATGACATACAAATGGCTAATAGATACATGAAAAAATGCTCAAAATTGCTAATAATAAAATACTCAGTAATAATCAGGGAAATTCAGTCAAAGCTACAATGAGGTATCACTTCACACTTGTGAGGATGGCTATAATCAAAAAAATAAAATAAAGTAACAAGTGCTGGTGAAGGTGTGTAAAATTGGAACTCCTGCACACAGTTGGTGGGAATGTAAAATGGTGCAGCTGCTATGGAAAATGTTATGCAGGTTCCTCAAAAAATTAAACATAGAACTGATACCATATGATCTAGCAATCCCATTTCTAGGTATTTATCCAAAAGAACTGAATCAGAATATCAAAGAGATGTTAGCACTCTTATGTTCATTGCAGCACTATTCACAACAGTATGGAAGCATGCTAAATGTCTGTTGACAGATGAATGGTTAAAGAAAATGTGGTATATATATGGAATACTGCTCACCCTTTAAAAAGAAGGAAATTCTGCAATATGTGGCAACATGGATGAATCTTGAGGACATTATACTAAATGAAATAAACCAGTCATAAAAAGACTGCATGATTCCACCTATATGTGGCATCTAAAGTAGTCAAATTCATAGAGTCAAAGAGCAGAATGGTGGTCGCCAGGGGCTGGGGGGAGGGGGAAATGGGACGTTACTAATCAACAGGCGTAAAACTTCAGGGAAGCAAGATGAATAAGCTCTAGATCTTCTGTACAACCTTTTACATACATTCAGCAGTAGTATATTACACACTTAGAAATTTGTTAAAAGGGTAGATGTCATGTTAAGTGTTCTTTCCATATTAAAAAAGTCAGTAGACGTTGAGTAAGGCAAACTACCCTCTGTAACAGTGGCTCATGTGATTGTGGGGGAAGGCAAACCCCAAATCTGCAGGGTAAGCTGGCAGCCTGGAAGCCCAGGGGAGAGCTGCAGTTCAAGTCTGAAGCCAGTGTGCTGGCAGAATTCCGTCTTCCTAAGTGGGGTAAGTCTTTTTTCTATTAAGCCTTCAACCAATTGGGTGAGGCACACCCCTATTACAGAGGGTAAAGAGAGTCAAACAGACACACACACACACACACACACACACACACACACACACACACACACACCCTGTTAGTTCTGCTTTTATGGAGAACCCTGAAATGCAATGACACTCTGGAAAAGGTAAAACTATGGTGGCAGTGAAAGGATCAGTGGTTGCCAGAGGTTCCAGGGGAAGGATGAATGGATAAATGGGTGAAGCACAGGGCATTTTTAGGGCAGTGGAACTATGCTGTATGATACTACAGTGGTGGATACATGTCATTATACATTTGTCAAAACCCATAGAATGTACAACACAAAGAGTGAACCCTAATGTAAATTGTGGACTTTGATAATGTGTCAACATTGGTCCATTGATTGTAACAAATGTACCACACTGACACTTTAGGGAGGCTGTGTGTGTGTGTGTTGTAGGGAGAGGATGTATAAGAACTCTGTGCTTTCTGCTCAGTTTTACTGTGAACCTAAACTGCTCTAAAAATTAAAGCCTATCGATTTGTTTAAAATGGAAAAAAACAGAAACAATCTCATTAGAAATCCAGGAATGTAAATTAAACCACAACAAGAATATCACTTTAGATCCACCGTATTAGAAAAATTAATTTTAAAAATACAAAATATTATTGAAGATGTGGCACAATAGGAACTTTTATATCGCTGTTGGGAGTATGTATTGGCACAATCACTTTAGAAAAATATTTGGCATTAGCTAGTAAAGTTGAAGCAATTCCACTCCTGGATACAGATCCTAGAGTAAAGGGTCTCAAAGTGTCCCCTGACTAGTAGCATCAGTAACACCTGGGAACTTGTTAGAAATGGAATTATGTATCAAGCCCTACCCCTGAGCTACTGAATTAGAAACTATGGAGTTGGGCCCAGCAATCTGTTTAAAGAAGCTGTACAGGTGATTTCAGTGCACAAAATACTTTGAGAACTACTGTCTTAAAAAGAAACTCTTACATGTGTGTTCCAGATGACAAGTACAAGAATGTTCAGAGCAACACTATTTACAATAGCAAAAGATTAAAATCAGGCAAATCTGCACCAACAGGATAAAGTATAAATAAATCATGGCATTTTAATACAGTGGGATACTATACAGAAGTGAAAATAAAGGAAGGAAGGAATAGTTACAAGTACGAATATGGATAAATCTCTCAAAATAAGAGTAAAGAAACAGATTGCAAAAGATCATTCAATTTACATAAAGTTGGAAAACATCCACAGGTAAATAAAACATAGCTAGGGATAAATACCTATGATTTAAAATCATAAAGAGAGGGAATGATAAATTCATGGTGTTACCTCTGGGGAGAAAGAAAGGGGATGCAATTAGTTATTGGCACAGTGGAGCCTTCAAAAATATTGCTAATACTCCATTTTTTAAGCTAGATGGTAGATACATAGGTATTCATTTTATCATTTTTCCTCAGAACTTACATTTATATATACATTATATACATTAATATCTATGTAAGAAATACTTCATAATTTAAAAAATTAAAAATTAAGCCTATATCCATCATTATTTTCAATAAACAGCTCAAGAAAATAATTTTGTTACTGCTATATTTTAGAAGCTGAGGAAAAATGGACTCCAACTTACATAAAATCTACTTTAATTTCTTCATTCCAGCATGGATGAGATCCACTTGCAACACTGGTTTGGTACACAGTGTGCTGAAACGAAACTTCCACAAAGGGGTGCACAGTATCCTGAAACACATAATTAACACCGACTAGATTTTTGTAATATTTTATATAGCTGATAAAAGGTAGAAATTAGTTACTGGCTGATAACTGGATGGCTTACTTTTTCCAGTTTTTCAAACAACCATGATTCATTCATTCATTCAATTAACATTGCTTCAACCTATTCAATATCAGGTACTACTTTGCTAGGATCCAAAAATAAATGGAAATCCTTAAGGATTTTTATCTCAAGTCTATCAGGAGAAAATAAACAGGTAAATAATTGCAATGAAATGTAAGAAATATATTCAAGGTATAATAGTAACTCAGGAGAGAGAATGATTAACTCTCTGGGGTAAGGACAAGGAGAACTTCACAGAGAAAACATTGCTTGGGCTTGAGCTTTGAAACATTAAATAGTAGTTCATGTGGCCAATAACACGGAGGTATGGTGGCCATTCCAGGCAAAGGAAAGGGCATATACGGAGGCCTTCTAGAACAAGCAGTCGTATGATATGATACCGCTGTGGGCTGATGAGAAATGTGGCTGATTGGTATGTAAGAACCAGATCATTACAGAGTTTGGTAGCCATTCTAAGGAGCTACCATTGTAAGGAGCTTGCACCTTATTCTGTAGACCCTGAGAGCAGGGTAGCAGAGAGTGAAGTAGTTAGAATTACATTTTACAAAGAGCACCTTCACTGTGTTATGGAGAGTAAACTAGAATTAGATGGATAGTCCAGTTAGGGGCCAGTTGCAATTCAGGGAAAACATGATCAAAACGGCACTTTATATAAGTGTTAAATACTTACCTCATTTAAGATCTCATCTGAGCTTACGGATTTGATTGTTTCTTTATGTCTGAGGCGAGACATGGATGATATCAAATAAGTGGGCATATCCAAGGCTCTTCTGAAAAACAATATAGAGATATGCACTTTAATTAATTTTAATATTAGTTTTGGTGGGAGTAGCTGGGTTTTTGCTTATGCTTATAGAGATATATAAGTCAGCTACCCTGGATCTTATAGAGTTTGCTTTGGATCTTCATAACATAGGTGGTTAGAGATAAATACGTGACAATCACTACTCTGAAAGGGTAGCTCCTAAATGCTGAACTATGGATTGGAACCAGTCTGTGACAGAGTTTTCACTGACCCTCAGCAAAAGGAAAAAAATAGAGCAAGTAATACTTTGAGACTATATTCTTCCTATTTTTGGTGTTACAATATTCTTTCTTTTACAAATTGATTATTATAGAAAATGGTGGTAATTTTATAATGTCCTTATTTCACAAAACAGCCTTGAAATGTGCATTTCTTTTGAGAATATCAATTCTATCACAAATAAAGTCGTATTTTATAATATAAAACACAGGCAAAACCTTTAAGAGGTTTTAACTATAGATTCGTAGCTAGTAAGCAAAATATTTGTTTTTCATATGTAGAGTTCATGGGATGTGGTAAACATAAAATAAGCAAGTAGAGCACATAAGTGTTAAATGTAGACAGAGAGGGTTACTCAGTATTCCTGAGGTACCTGGGCACTAAATATCCACAATACATAAATTATACATGAGATTAAATATATGAAACACTTGAAATTCAGGTTATACTAAATATTCATGAGTATTTAATATTCACGATGCCTTAATTTGGCCACTCTGACCCTACATATCCTCTGCCCAAGAAACGCAAATAAAACACACTGAGTGCCTGCAGAAGAGATAGGTAAGATTTGATTTTTGTAGAAGTCACCTAAAATGATAAATCCAAAATGGAGCTTACTGTCTCCTGTAGTCTATATACTTCCAATACTGTGAGGGGACAGTGGCAGAGAACAGTGTAATTAGCAATAGCAGCTTAAGTTTTCACAATAGGGAATAGGGACAGAAGGTATTTATTTGATATAGCACCCAAAAATATACATGTTAAAGGTACTTTGGGCATCTCAAACTTCTGAAAATTTGTAATACACAGCAATGACAGTAAGTTTGACTATCCAAATGAAGATTTCAACTTTCATTTAGTTTCTGTATATTAAGCATTAATAAAGTACAAAGTTTTATTAAGAAGACAGTATAGAAATTTACATTTAAGACATCTTTTGCAACTCCAAAAATTGGTGCAATTGCCTTACCTACTAACTATTGCTTTCCTTGTAGGAATATTATAAGCCCTCAATATTCGGACAAGAATCTGAATATCTCCATCACAGATAGTCTGTGCTGCCACTTTTTTCCTTTCTTGCCTCTGAGGCTTTAACTTTCTTCGTCGTTCAAGAAGCTTACAAACTGCACATGTCAACTGGCTAAAGAGTAAAAAATGATCAATCACATAGATACAAGATAGCTTAAAATTTGAAAGATATCAATTTTTTAAATTAATTATTATAAATAAGGCCATTATTCTGAACCATGTTCTCTCCATTGTGGAGGGGAGACAGAGTTGTCTTAGACCCAAGGAAAGAATCTTTTTCTGAGCATGGAAGAGATGCTATGTTAAGAGAGAATGTGATTGCTCCACGTCATTTGGGTGTACGGTCCAAGAAGAAACAAGGGCATGGAGAGGTAATTCCATGAAACATGATGTTATATCAAAGGATTATTCATTTTTTAGGAATCATTCTCTTGAAAGTGGTTAGATACTCAACTTTTCTACATGGTTCTGAATAGGAGTTAGTTATATGTGCTGCCAACCCTGGCAACACAAACCTATGCAATTATAGCTTTATGGTCACACCTATTTTCCTCCAAAGACTGAGAATAAAACACAGACTTTAGACTATACTACAAAGCTATAGTCATCAAAACAGTATGGTACTGGCACAAAAGTAGGAATATAGATCAATGGAACAGGATAGAAAGCCCAGAAATAAACTCACACACCTATGGTCAATTAATCTATAAATATGACAAAGAAGGCAAGACTATACATTGGAGGAAAGAAAGTCTCTTCAACAAATGGTGCTGGGAAAACTGGACAGCTACATGTAAAATAAATGAAAGTGGAACATTCTTTAACACCATACACAAAAATAAACTCAAAATGGATTAAAGGCCTAAATATGAGACCAGACACTATAAAACTCTTAGAGGAAAACATAGGCAGAACACTCTACTCTCTGACATAAATCACAGCAATATCTTTTTCAATCCATCTCCCAGAGTAATGGAAATAAAAACACACATAAATAAATGGGGCCTAATTAAACTCAAAAGCTTTTGCACAGCAAAGGAAACCATAAACAAAATGAAAAGACAGCCCACAAAATGGGAGAAAATATTTGCAAATAATGTGACTGACAAAGGATTAGTCTGCAAAATTTACATACAGCTCATGTGGCTTAATATCATCAAAACAAACAACCCAATCAAAAAATGGGCAGAATACCTAAATAGACATTTCTGTAAAGAAGACATACAGATGGCCAAGAGGCACATGAAAAGATGTTCAACAACACTAATTATTAAAGAAATGCAAATCAAAACTACAATGAGATATCACCTCACATCAGTCAGAATGGCTATCATCAAAAAATCCACAAATGGGCTTCCCTGGTGGCACAGTGGTTAAGAATCTGCCTGCTAATGCAGGGGACACACGTTCGAGCCCTGGGCCGGGAAGATGCCACATGCCGCGGAGCAGCTAAGCCCGTGTGCCACAACTACTGAACCTGCACTCTAGAGCCCACGAGCCACAACTACTGAAGTCCACATGCTTAGAGCCTGTGCTCCGCAACAAGGGAAGCCACCACAATGAGAAGCCTGCACACCGCAACAAAGAGTAGCCCCTGCTCACCCCAACTAGAGAAAGCCCGTGCACAGCAACAAAGACTCAATGCAGCCAAAAATAAATAAATAAGTAAATTTATTTATTTTTTAAAAAAATCCACAAACAATAAATGCTGGAAAGGGTGTGGAGAAAAGGGAACCCTCTTGCACTGTTGGTGGGAATGTAAATTGATAGAGTCACTATGGAAAACAGTAAGGAGGTTCCTTAAAAAACTAAAAATAGAACTACCATATGACCTAGCAATCCCACTATTGGGCATATACCCAGAGAAAACCATAATTCAAAAAGACACATGCACCCCCAATGTTCACAGCAGCACTATTTACAATAGCCAGGACATGGAAGCAACCTAAATGTCCATCAACAGAGGAATGGATAAAGAAGATGTGGTACATATATACAATGGAATATTACTCAGCCATAAAAAGGAACAAAATTGAGTCATTTGTAGAGATGTGGATGGACCTAGAGAGTGTCATACAGAGTGAAGTTAAGTCAAAAGAGAGAAACAAATATCATATATTAACACGTATATATGGAATCTAGAAAAATGGTATGGATGATCTTATTTGCAAAGCAGAAATAGAGACACAGATGTAGAGAAGAAACTATGGTTACCAAGGGGGAAAGGGGGAGTGGGAGGAATTGGGAGATTGGGATTGACACAAACACATTATTGATACTATGTATAAAATAGATAACTAATAAGAACGTGCTGTATAGCACAGGGAACTCTACTTAATGCACTGTGGTGACCTAAATGGGAAGGAAATCCAAAAATGATGGGATATATGTATATGTATAGCCAATTCATTTTGCTGTACAGTAGAAACTAACACAACATTGTAAAGCAACTATACTCCAATAAAAATTAATTTAAAAATAAGATGTTCAACATTGCTAATTATTAGAGAAATGCAAATCAAAACCTCAATGAGATATCACCTCACACCAGTCAGAATGGCTATCATCAAAAAATCCATAAGCAATAAACGCTGGAGAGGGTGTGGAGAGAAGGGAACCCTCCTACACTGTTGGTGGAAATATAAATTGGTGCAGCCACTATGGAAAATGGTATGGAGGTTCCTTAAGAAACTAAAAATAGAGCTACCATATAAACCTGCAACCCAACTCCTGGGCATACACCTGGAGAAAAACATAGTCCAAAAGGATACATTCATCCCAATGTTCATTGCAGTGCTGTTTACAATAGCCAAGACATGGAAGCAACCTAAACGTCCACTGACAGAAGAATGGATAAAGAAGATGTGGTACATATATACAATGGAATATTAGCCATTAAAAAGAATGAAATAATGCCATTGCAGTAACATGGATGGACCTAGAGATTGTCATACTGTGTGAAGTGAGACAGAGAAATAGAACTATCATATGATATCACTTATATGCAGAATCTAAAAAAAAAGATACAAATAAACTTATTTACAAAACAGAAACAGACTCACAGACTTAGAGAACGAACTTATGGTTACCTGGGGGAAGGGAGGGGAGGAGGCATAGTTAGGGAGTTTGGGATTGACATGTACACACTGCTATATTTAAAATGGATAACCAACAAGGACCTACTGTATAGCACAGGGAACTTTTGCTCAATATTCTGTGACAATCTGACTGGGAAAAGAATTTGAAAAAGAATAGATACATGTATATGTATAACTGAATCACTTTGTTGTACACCTGAAACTAACACATCATTGTTAATCAACTATACTCCAATAAAAAATAAAAAGTTTTAAGAAAATAAATTTTCATCATTGACACACACACACTACTATATACAAAACAGATAGCTAATAAGGACCTACTGTATAGCACAGGGAACTCTGCTCAACACTCTGTAATGGCCTATATGGGAAAGGAGTCTAAAAAAGAGTGGACATATGTATATGTGTAGCAGATTCCCTTTGCTGGACACCTGCAACTAACACAACATTGTAAATCAACTCTACCCCAGTAAAAATTTTATTTTTAAAAATTTATTTATTTTTGGCTGTGTTGGGTCTTTGTTGCTGCACATGGGCTTTCTCTAGTTGCAGCGAGCAGGGGCTACTCTTCTTACAGTATGCAGGCTCCTCATTGCAGTG